CTGGTTATAAGCAAATCACAAACAACTGAAACAGAAAACAAATTTCTTATCTCTCCTCTTTACGGTTGATTTTATCACCATTTAACCCTTTTTTTTTTTTTTAAGTATATATTGGAAAGAGTAAAGATTTTTTTTCAACATTGCACAGGGCAATTGTATATATTTTTTCTTATTCTTCCGAGACTAAGTTTTCACTTAAACTATATTTTGTCAATTCGAAGATGTGTGCTTTCTCATTTTAGCATCTTGGAATGTCTTGTAACAGATGTCTTGCTGTGATTATATCGGAACACCTTTTCTTTTTTAACGATTCATAAAATAATGATGCAACCTACAATTTAACAGCCATAATATCAAACACATTAGACTTGATATATTTCAAAGGCTACAACAACAAAAACAGTAAAACAAGCAAAAAACAACCAAAGTCCATCCACTGGCTCTGCAGAATTATTTATCTACAATTGAAAGATAAAGTGCACACCAGAATACTGAACAACTCCAAGCAGTCAAGGTTTTAGAGGACTCACCAGAGTTGGGGTCAGAGTTTCCATCTGCTTCGGTCCTCTTGTCCGGAGAGACCTGGTCATAGAATTCGTCCTGTGGCTGAACCAGAGGAAGAGGGTGTGAGATCAGGGTTCCACTACCCACCGGCTCGTGGTCTCCTAGACCACTGTCACTGCAGCTTTCCTGGGAGCCATCAGGGAGGTGAAACGTAACGTGCCTCTGCGACTACAAAGAAGACCACAGGACAAGAGGATTAACACTCCTTGTAAATAAACAGGCATCACGGCATACAAAAATCTAAACATTTCTGTCAACAGACAACACAATGTAAACATAAAATAAAGCTAAAAGCTAGCAACAAGCGTTTAGTATTTGCCATTTACGTTGTAAAGACCAACTTGAAACATTCCAGAAAGAATTTCCATCTGGTATATTTCAAGACCATAAAACTAATTTTAACAAGAGACAGAAAGAGCCATATAAACCAGAGACTCCATCAGCCTGAGACCAGAACTAGATGATGCCCAGCTAACACCAATGACCGCCCTGACAGGGAACCCAACAGAGAGTCCCTGACAGAGCAGGAGAAAACTGGGGTGCAGAACTCAAATTCTAGTCAAAAGACCAGACTTAATGGTCTGAATGAGGCTGGAGGGACCCTGGAAGACATGGTCTTCGGACTCTCTGTTAGTCAGAACTGAAACCATTCCTGAAGCCAACTCTTCAAAGATTAGACTGAACTGTGGGACATAAAATGATACTTGTGAAAAGAGTGCTTCTTAGCTCAAGTAGATAAACGAGACTAAACTGGCAGCTCCTGTCTGGAGGTGAGATGAGAAGGCAAAAAGGGACAGGAGCTGGTTGAATGGACACAGGAAATCTGGGGTGGAAAGAAGTATGCTGTCACATTATAGGGACAGCAGTTAGGGTCACATACCAGTGTGTGTATAAAATTTTGTATGAGAAACTTACTTGAACTGTAAACTTTCACTAAAAGCATAATTAAAAAAAAAACAAAAACTAATTTTAAGCCTATGAAAAGTGTGGCAGGAAAGGCAAAAAAGAATACCTACATTAGTCAACAAAATTACAGAAAAGTGTTAAATCAGCAGAAATTTGTGTATGTTTGCTGCATAGATCTGAATAAATACATACATAATACTACATTCCCAGTTCTCTTGAATGACTGAGACACTGTTTCTACTTGATAGTTTTGAGATAATTTTTGCTATGAATGCATTTCCTACATGCTTTCCTGCTACATTTAAAGAACAAGCTACATATTTGGATATCTCTAAACCAATAATGAGCCCTGGTAGCGAAGCAGTTAAGAGCTCAGCTGCTAACTGAAAGGTGAGCAGCCTGAGTCCACCAGGCGCTACTTGGAAACCCTATGGGGCAATTCAACTATGAGTCAGAATCCACTCGATGGCTATGTTATGTTTTGTTTTTTTTAAAGCAATAATGTAACAATTAATTAATTATTTTAAATAAATAACCTCTGTACAATTGCTATTGATATACATGAGAAAAAAATTTTTTTCTAAAACAAAGATTAATTTAGTAACTCATTATAAAGTAGCACCAGCTGGTCCAGTATATTATGACAGGTCCTTGGTTACCAAATAATCCATTTTAAAGGTGTTTGGAATATCACTTGGCATCTAATTACACAACCTCACTGTCAGAAGTGATCTAAAATATGTACGTTTATGTCAATAATTTTTTTGTGTTTTAATAAAATAAAATTATGCATTTTAGCAAAGATTGCTGTTTATTTCTCTTGTTAAATGTTCTTATAGGTGATATAATCCATGCGATATGAGGATATTTGCAGCTGTGTAGTAGGGAGCTTTGGGCATTACTAAAATGTATGAGTAATAAATTTTTGCTATATATAGGACTGTGCTTAATATTTATTCTGCTTTAACAGTTGAAAGACCTTTCAATGTCATGCCACATGTGACCAGTTTTATTCAGATTTAATAAAATTTAAATGTATAATTAAACACATAATATAAATATACAATGTATAATATAAAATACAATTGTTTAATAGCACTTAACATTTATGTTTTTTCAAGAGATGATTCATAGATTGTACCCATTCTCAAAAAGAAAAAGAAGCATTTAGAGGGAAAATGCTATACAGATGTACATACTGCTACTCTATAAATGTGTTTTCATAGACTGAAAATAGAACATAACTTTTTTCCTGTGAGTAGCTGGTTCAAATCCAGCTCAGAGTCATAAGGGAGAAGAGCAGAAATCATTTTATTGCTCTTCAATGACCTGTGTGAAATGAGTGGCTAGTCCAGTACATTTTTAAGGAACTGATCCCAATATCACATAAACTATAATCATAACTGGGACTAATTAAGCCCATTGTAGCACATTTCACCGTCATGCACTCCTATCTTGGTGGCAGCATTCTCCTTGCAATAGACTTTGAAAGGTGCCTAGGTAGGTACTAAACAATATACAAGGCAAACTTTAGTATTAATATCTGAAATATATTCCTCATTGTACAAGGAAGGTTATTTTAAATTGTTATAGTGTTTCCACTCTCATATGAATTTAAGCCTTTAGGAAAAACCAATAACATGAATTTTCTGTTTCTGTTTTAATAGGTCCTTAACTCATCAATCAACTTTTATGATAATGAGTATATGAAGGACTGAAGGATAATGAGCATGGCTGCTGCCCGATATATGTGATAGTCAAATAGAAATATATGTATAATCAGTCTAAAACCAATATACTAAAAAGTCCATAGTTTTAGTGATTAAAGTAGCTATGATGTGATCGATCACACTTAGTTATAGTTCGGGTGAGTAAAAAAGAAGTCAAGACACATTGGAAAGACAATAGAATAGATGATTCTGGAGCCTTTATAAAGCATTTCTGGAATACTAACAAACCATTATAAAGTACTTATTTCATAGATAGAAAGAAAAAAGAAAAAAGTATTTGTGATATTCTTCTAAACATAATTGACATTGCTTTAAATGCAATAAAACTTTTTTTCTCCTATGAAATGTTCAAATATGCAATAGCATTTATATCTTAATCTAACAGTTTTCACAATGTGGTTATTAGAAAAAAAATTATTGAGCACCTACTATATGCCTTTGACTATGATTACACAGGGAATACAAAGTATCCCTTGTTTCTCAAAACTATTCCTAGTACAGTTTATTAAACTCCATTTCATATATACCATACTATCGTA